TGTTTACCCACTCATTTCCATATCTCCAAGTCCCCCCAGATTTCACTTAGGAGCATTATTTTTAAGGCCACCGACATACTTTATGAAAACTGCTTTTCAGCAGTCCATTTATTTCACTGTCATAGACCAGTCTGATCCTGTTACAAACTGGAGAAGCAGGGCTGGCCCCAGCTGGACAGAACTGGTTTTCACCAGGAAGCGTCAGCACATTAAAATCAAAGCTTTAGTTTGGGAAGATCCTCCTGTCAATGAAACCAAAAGAGTTCAGAGGCACAAGATAGAGCTCTGAGCAAAATGGCAAGGTCTTCACAGCACTTCCTCCCCTGAGGCGAGACACATGTTCAGGTCCTCCTCAGGCAGCCTGTGCAGCGCGGCTTGATGCCCAAACCGCTGGCGTTGAGAGCTCTCCCATGGAGCTCCTACAGTCTTCACAAGTAATTAGGCATTTGCTAGAATGGGAATATCTTCCATAAGACAGCAAAGTGTTATTGGAATATCTTCCATGCTAGATGCCTTTAAGCACTAGCCTCGCTGTCTCTAACGTAATCACGGTAATCGCCTGCCTGGGACTTCTCTAAATCAAGTAATTAACATTCCAAGTAGTGTTAAAACTTTTTTTTTTTCTTAAACAGAGAATTCACGAAGTTGTCACAGTGATTCTGCTAAGTTTACTGTCCTTTTATCATGAGTAATACTTGACGGTGTCTTTACTTGGTTCTTTCTTTACYTGGTTCTTTAACTTCAGTTAATGCTATTTGTAAACATAAGAGGTTGTCACTCATTCACGTAATTTGACTAAAATTATACTAGAACAAACCAGTAACCAGGTATCTTCATATATACTGTTTATAGTCTAAAATATAGCGACTTGTTAATTTTAAAATAAGTGTCAGTCTGACTGTTATTTTAGCAAACTTTAAACTTTAAACATTGCCATTTTATGAGAACCTTTTCTTTTGGTGACTAATCCACAGAGCCGTGTAGTGCTCTGATTCATCTTGCTACACCAATTCCCACGACAGAAGGTTTGTGCTAGCAAGTGGATCACATCAGATCCCATCAGCCAGACTTTGGGGAGGGGAAGCTACCTGTCTTTAGCAGCAGCACCACCACGTGCATCCCGACATTGCTGTAGTGATAGACTCCCACTTGACCTCTGAGGATAGTGTTCAATCTYTAGATCATCGTTATATGCTGGTAGGAAGGTATCAAAGTACAAGGTAAAATCATTTATTCAGAGTCTCAGGTAGATTGAGTCATACCAAGATAATCAACCAACAGATGAGTAAGAGAAACAGAAGGTACATAGCCCAGAGATGTCAGTTTTGCTGTTTAAAATGTTATTTTCCAATAAGCACAATAGACTGCAGACTGGAACAACACAGGACACCAAGAGAGAAAGCAAGGCACGAACAGCATTAGGAAGAAAAAGCAAAAGGAGAGTGAGAAGAAGCAGTTACCACATGTACTAGAAAGGCAGAAAAATGAGCAGGGGCACAAAAGCAGGAGTCCCTCAGTGAGGGCACACGTGCCCTCTGGCTTGGTTAGCCCTTGCTAAGGGTTAAAAGGTGCTCCCACGACCAGTCTGCCCATCTCCTTCCCTGCCTTTGATTATAGCACTCGCTACCCTTACTTAAAGGTTAAACAAAGATAAAGGTAAGAACGGATAGGGCGCTACAGCAATACTCTTTTTGCACGTTTATTCCAGTCTCTCCTCCTCTGCTGCCCATCTAAGCATCAGGCAGTTCCTCTCAATGGAAGGATAACAGAGAAAGGAGACTCTCCTTGGGAGATGTGGGAGGGATAGAAGAGTTGACAAAATCCAGCTCTCTATCCAGACCTTTATCAACTCCCTCATCAGCAAAGAAGCCATCCTCAAGCTTTGCCTGAAAGGAATTTATGTTCTGTGATCCTCTAACAATTTCAGGCTAGCTTCTGTCCCTTGACACGGTAGCTAAAAATTTCCACTCCACACAGCAATTGCTGTAATAATAACAATACTTACATTTCATTATTTAACYTCATGCTATTCCTACATGAGGATTAGTGCTTAATTAATTAACAACACTTAGCATTTCCACTTAGCACTCTACCTCTTCAAAGCACCGTACAGACAATATCTAATTAACGGCAGAGCTCCCCAGACACTTCACATCAAGACTTTCCTTTGGCAGTTCTGCATCCAAGACTTGCTCGCATGGAGGTACAGCACGAATCAAGGCAAAAACCCTATGGATTTCATCAGGTAATGCCCTGGATATCAAGTGACTATCCTTGCAAATTATTTTTCTTTTCTTGCTCGTTCTGTCTGCTTACCATGCATCCAAGGATCGAATTATTGGCTAATACGATGGGTGATAATGTGAACCTTTTATTAGTGTTATCTACAGAATCTTTATTCTTCTGTCAGTGAAAACCTTGTTCTCAGGCACCTGATTGAACTGCCTTTAGATGGAAAATGTGTTAACCACCAGAACAGATTATAAGATGGCAAGCCAGAGTTTTTAAGGGAGACGCTGCTTTCAATCCATCAGTCAAATGCCTGCTATGAAAGTTCCTTTCTTGTAAGCACCCCAGGGTGCTATACAACATCAATAGGCAATATAAACACAGAGCTTTTATGGTTCACTTTACAATTGGACATTGACTCTGAATCTGTGAAATGGAAAGGAATTGAATTTTATGACCAAAGAGGATAATGTGCACAGGATTAAGTAGACAACACTAGTAGGAGCAGGAAAGTAATATGTCTTTGGATGCTTGTAGGGAGATTAAACCTACAAATAGGAAGCCAAAGGTATAAAACAAACTTTTGGTAAACTCTCACAAACCTGCAGTAGCGCTCTGTACTGCAGATTAATCCAATATTTTTTTCAAGTGATCACACACCCCGATGGGCTTATTCAAAGCCCACTGATTGATAACAGCATGTGGAATGTTAACTGCAGTGTCTTTGGGCCCCAAATATGCTTGTGACAGTGCTTTTGCAAACTTCATAAGAGTTTAAAATAAAACCCAGGGCTTATTATCCCTGAATAGAATTTCATTTAAGCTGCAAATGGATCAGACTCTTATGGCCAGACTCAACCCCAAGCTGGGTGTCTGATGCTTGCTCTGCACTCTTCTGAATGTCTCTMTTAGGAATGTATGAACTTTTCATCTTTGTATACAGCTTCATCTTCTATTATCCAATATTTCCTTGCCACCAGGTACCACTGTCCTGTGCTTCCTATCTCAGACACCAAATAGTCCAGACAGCCCCAACCAACCCTAGCCTGTGTTCTCCATCACTAGGCCATTCTCCATCCCTTTCTCATATTCGCCACCTAAGGCCCATTCCAGCCTGCCTACAGCCACTGTCCAGCCCCATCTGTGGGAGCCTTGCTCCACTGACTGTTGCTGGTGTTTATGGTTACATGCAAATCATGCAGACCGTTCTAATTGCTTCCTAACAAGTTTGCTGAAAGGTACCACTCAAGGCAAAGCTGACAGCTGTGGTCACTGAAGTTCAGGAGCAGACAGTTATTTGGTAGCACGTGCGTTGGATCAGGCCATTAACAAACACATTAGGAAGCCACCATAGGGGATGATTGCAGTTATTATGTAGGTGGCTGTGCTGCTGTTCAGAGCAGCAGCCTGTCACACAGCCCCTTGGGAGCAGTTCTGTATTTACATTGCAGTGCACTTGTGCCCACATCTGCAAGCCCTGGTGTCCCTGGGGAGCACACRCTCAGGTATTTCCCGACGGGATCATCGGTCTCTACTGGAACTATGTTGGGTGCAGCTCAAGATGAGATCCAGAGACACAATCTAGACAAAGGCCTGACATTTGAAAGGCAGATCCCTACTCCACTGCATGTCAAAAATAACCATTTAAGATGATTTAGACAATTAGAATATTAACCTTATTTTCTTTTTACTCCTCACTCTTGTTTTATTCAGCCTGAGCAATGAAACAGGCTGGGCTGTTTAATCTGTCCCACATTTTTCACTCATCCTGTCATTATCCTGTGTTCAAGTGGTTCTCCTGGATGTTGTGTTTCCAGAGTGTCACAGGACTGTACATTCATTTCTATTGCTCACATGGGCACATCCACAGAGCAGTCAGCAATAGATTCGTGGGGATGATAGGGGGTGCTCAGAGAAGAGCATGTGAAGTGGCAGTACGTGTTTTCTTGCCTCTATTGGGAAGTCCAGCAGTCACTGGGACTATTTATACTTTGGGCTATGACAACCTCCTGCGGCAATGAATTCCACAATTTATATTGACTGCATTAAGCTCTCTACAGGCGCTGCTTCTGTTCCTTCATCAGACAGAGGGGTCCCTGCTGCTGTACTATCATGCTGCACACTATTAGTCCTAAAATTCATCCAGAACAAGGAGTGTTGGATGGATTGCTTAGTGAGTGGCACTGTGAAACATCTTATATCCTCCCTAGTGAAATTCTTTAGGGTCAAAACTGAGGTGCAGGCCRGTTGTCATTACCTTTATAGGACAGGGTACACTCCAGTGTGACTATGGATGACACAGTTATGCTAGGGAAACTTACAATTTTATCACTAAACCCACTCTAAGCGCAGTTTTTTAGTAATGCAGTTCATGGGATCTGATACAATGACAGTTTAAAATTCGAAACATTCCTGACAATGGCCTTTTCACACATAGGCCATTTTTCTAAAATGAGAAGTACTGTATGGCCCCAGCTAGATGAACTGAGTGGCTTTATGACAGCGAAAGTTTCCGGCCTTGATTTAACTGTGAGCAAAAAAAAGAAAAGGTCTTTTCCTGGAAAGACACTCCTCTGCCCACAGAAGAAAGTGCCCTGTATATAACCAGTTGCAATTCTGTTCAAAGGGCTTTATCATATGATCTCAGCCTGTTTTGATTATTTTTTTCTCCCCAAAGGGCATCAGCAGTTTTCCAAGGACAGCCTGGCCTCATGGTCATAGTCTGAAGGGCACTAAAATGTGTCTGTCTCATCCCAGCTTAGATTTCTTACCTTTGTGGTCCACAACTTGACTGTCCAGTCGAATGATGATGTGACAAAGAGATGGGAGAAGTCAATTGGACCCACTGCCATGTGGCAATTGATTCCTGTGACAGGTCCCTGGTGGCCTTCAAAGATTTCACCAATGCCAGCTTTACTGCAGGAAGAAGAGATATTTGCATTCAGAGATTTGGGGTTAATACCAGATATCTTGCTTTACGCTTAGATTTCTGTTTCCTTTCAAATTTCTGTTTAATTGGTAATGTTCTTTCACTGAGGTCTTTTCTGGAAAAGCTTTCTGCTGTGTACAATCAATGTTCAAGATCCAACATGTGGAGACATTCTCTTCCTTCTGAAGACATGCATTACTGTCTCTTATATGACAATGTCTTCCTCTGTGGCTTGAAGTAATACTTATGAATAATTATAAAATAATTACATTATAGCTTATAGATCTGAGTAAGTCTTTATCACAAGCAATAGCCCTTAAAATAAAAAAGTGAATATGTCAATGACTTGTTGACAAACTACTTCTTTCCCTCTTAAATACCTAAAATAAGTTTTCACAGCAGTCAGCCAAGTCACCAGGAATCCAAAACCTTTTCACCAATTGTGAAGGAACTATTCACATGATCAGGTCACCTACAGTCATTAGAGAAGATTCCATCAGCAAGAAGCTAGAACAGTTATTAGGAAGGAAAAACACAACACAGTGTAAGAGCACCTACATGCAGAGTTTTTGTTCCTTCTATAAGCAAATGGTGCCAAATCRGTTACTAGTGCTTCTGTATAAGGGAATGACAAAATTACCCTTTTAGTTACACTTAAGGCCTGAATTCTGCTGCCATGTTCTCTGCATTTTGGCCCAAAGATCTTGGTGCAAAACACACCTCTTCCTTCATCCCCATCTTTTTGTTGTGCCATGCACAAAGCAGGGTATGTGAAGTTCTGGTGCATGAGGAAGAACACCTTGCATGTTTCTTCAGTTTTGCCACAGCTTTCCCCCCCCCAAAAAAAAAGCATCTGGCTTTCTGCTGTGCTGAAGCACACAAGAGCCTCTCAAAACAGAATGGGCTGATACTACAAAGCTCTGGCGGAGAAAGGCAGGAGCAGGAAAGGTGTAGATTCCTCAAGGAGAGGGCTTGCTAAAAAGGGGGGAGAACAAGAGGATCTGACAACTTCCTTCTCTCGTGAGGGACAAGCCAGGCATGTTTGAAAGATTAAACGTGAGAAAAGCCTTTGGGCGTGTTTCACTGATCCCAGCAGCCTAAGACTAATTCAAACCACCAGTCACCATGCAGCCTATCAGTATAATGCCTAAAAAGACACAGTATTGAAATGATGTTAGCAATCAATCAGGTTAAAATGAAAATATTTTAAGTAAGATTATTTTAAAAATATAGATAAAACTGTACCTGCACAGTATTAGGAATGTGCAATAGAAGTGTTGCAATCTTAAACAGTGTAGCAATGTCTACATGTTCATTACAAACAAGAAGTGTGATAAAATACGAATTCAGAGAGTATGGAAAACTAGTGAGGCGTAGGGGCAAAATTTAAACCTACCAGTGGAATGTGGAAGGGTTTGTTCTTTAGAGAAGGCATTTCAGCAACCTGAAGGATGAAACTACTAACAGAAGCTAGCAGAGCACACAAGCTTCTTGCAGCTCATTCTAATAAACAGGAAGAACTGATCTTCAAAGTGGCCTCTGATAGTGAGAGYCTCCTTGCTTCTAACTGCATCCTGAAAGAGTTTACAGGGTGCAAAATAAAGAACTGGTTTAAATCATGGAAGTGGATTAGCACCTTGCTTCGCTTAGAAGCTGGAACASAACACTCAAGCCCTTCTCATTAAGAGACATGTTATGGAATTTATGGGAAAAAAAAAAMCCCAAACAATTTGGCTATCATTCTAAATGATATTAGAAAATACTCTGCTAGACTAAGCTTTTCCCAGGTCACTTTATCAAGATTTACATTAGTGGCCTGTCCAGACTACTGAGACACGGTATCTGCAGAAATACAGGGCAGAGGGGCAGAATATTGCACAGCTGGACGTTGGCTGAACAACGCTGAGATAAAACTTACAGCAATGCTCTGAAAATGATCTTAGTAGGCCGGGGTGGCCTAGCTGAAGGAGGCAGAAAAGCAGGACAGGGTGCACTCACATTTAAGGGCAGAAGAAGAGCCTTTTGGTTGTGCAGAGCCCTGCATGTCACAGTCCACAGCTCATAGGAAGCATGGTGCACTTGCAGCAATATTTRGAGTGAGAGTCTCTGCTCCATCCTCACTGCTGGCCTCAGCTCTGGCCTCTGCACTTGGAACATCTCAGAGCTGGTGTGTTTTCCCCAAGCTTGCCTCCACTACCAAGAGGTTTTGGGGGCAAGGAAAGAGCTTTGACCTTTTATATATATATATATATATAAATAATATTGAGCTACAGTCTGGGCATTCAATTTAAAAACAAAGGGATGTAAATACACTGTGTAAGAGAAGCACAAAGCACAAAGAGGAGAGGGTCAACCCAAGTCTTCCTGGCACACTGCAGCTYTGTCTGCAGTAACTAATGAAACAGACGGCAGCGCAGACTGGGGCCTTGAGGCCAAATGGGACCGTGTGTTCTCTGTCTCTACAGCACACAAGCTTTTGCCCTCCCAAAGAGGGTGACTGTACCCAAACTGCCCCCTGAGAAGGGACCCCAGCACTGCTAGTGCAGCTGCCCACAGTAGTGGGTGGCAGTGCTAGGCAGAGTCTGAGTGCACAGCCGCATCGGGATGCCCTTTCATCTGGGCCCACGTGGCCTGCTTCTCACAGGCAGACGTGTCCGTGATTGCTTTTCTCTACTCCATATATGCCTGTGGAGACTGAAGATGAAGCGAGGATGGTAAAAAATAAGCAAGTGGATTACCATCTCTTACAAGTGGTTTAGGCCTGATTACCCTTCAGCAGCACTGTCTCCTAGGACCTGATTCAGCCTGCCCAGACATAGACATCTGCATCTGAGCTAGCTGTCTAGACTTCCGTTATAATCACTGGTGAGAAAGAGGCTTTTCTCAGGTGCCAGTCATCTCATCTTCAAATAGACGCCTGAAAAAGGGCAGAGAAGTCCTAAAAGTAGTTTTGGCTCCCCACTGACTACACAGAAAGCAGGGCAACTAGCCCAGTATAAATGGCTATAAGCAATTCCCATCCTCATCATGTGAAACAGAACAGCAATGACACTGTTGATCCAAGAGAAAAAAATTAAACATTCCCCACACATACTTGGCTACCTCACACCCTCACCAACACAGAAGCACAATGTTATTTAAGTACAAAATACTGAATATCACCTTCCATGACGACAAGCTGTGTAGACTGTCCCCTCTTCGCTGCCAACAACAAAGTTATTGACATCTCCGGTTGGGAAAGCCATTCCTGTAACCGCCACTGGTTTGGACTTATTGTACACCAGCTCCATGCTCTCCTACCAAAACAGGTCTTAGTTATTATTCTGCCATTGTTTTCTTGAGTTTGTCTTCACTAATTCGTTTCTAAATGTTACACAGGCTAGCAGGAGGCAGAGGAAGAAGAAATCATTTGAGCCAGTCACCGGATTTCAGTTTCTATATGGGCTATTGCAAGAAGATGCAATGTCACAAATTAGGATGCAGAGCGATGCAGGGATGCCACCCTGCTGCTGTCTGTCATATGTTTCAGAGTGGCTGGAATGCACTGGTCTGTGCTACATAATCTTAAATCAGGCAGAGATGACAGGTGAGAATTTAAAAACTAATGGTGCAGAAACTAAAGATAATACCTTAATGGCTACACTTGCCAGCCSAAGGCTCTAATAAAATACACAATACCTTCTATTTACAAACATTTTTGAAATCAATTGTTTGCCAGGAAACACACATAATATCATATGCACCTGAGGCATTTATCAGGCAGTGCCATTTGTCCGTCCATAAACTTGGGTCAGTGTCACTGCTGTCACTCTAAGCACTCTTTTTCAGGGTGTTTCTGAAGCCATAAACATTCTTGCTGGAGTCCACCATGAAGCTTCAAGCCAGCAAGCATATTTTCTTTTTTATTTCATAGATATAGTTCCAAGCACATCAGCATGCCCCTTTTTGCTATTGCAAGTAGGACCAGCATGTCAGTTTATGAGATGSAGATGATTGAGCAAACCCTTCTCATCTTTAAACTTTTTGATTCTGCAGCATAAATGGTGTAACCCGTGAATCCATAAAAGGGCAGAATGATTTAGCAATTTTCTTTTTTAGCTATTTAAGTGGGTATGCTTTGTGTGTTTAAAATACCTAAGATGCTAGTCTTCTAGGGTCACAGCCCGTAGCACTGATTTTCAGAAGGGCGTTTTGCTGTAGGTAAAGAAAATGGCAAGACCTTTGGGAGGTGAAAGCCATTCCCCATTTTCCATGGGGAAATACTATTGCTTGATTTATACTTCTCTTTGAAATACATTTAATTCTACAAAAAAGGCAAAAGGAAGCCTGGAAAATGAATTGTCAGAGTACCTGTGGACCATATATTTCTGTGAAAATGTTCTGGAATGAGGTCTTCATTTAGTGTCTCTGTGGAGGCACAGCCAGATATTGTGGTGGGCTCTCTCCCCTTGGTGCCTACCCCGTGGCCACGTGCTCAGGATCCAGGTCTTGGGAAAGTTTCAGACTGACACAAACCCTGCAACACTCTGCTCCTACCAATTCAAAAGTAGGGCATGCAGCTTGGCTTCAAATCCTTGCCTTTCTTAGCAAGAGTGCCACAAGTCATGAGGGTTGTGCTGGCTTGTTGAGAGCCATCTGAGTAGTGAARTCCTGAAACTGAGAAGTCATCTCAGTGGGGAAGTCCTGGAACTGAGATGTTCACAAATATCTGCTCAAAATGTAGTATAATAGTAAGCAAATATGTAAAGGTAGCATTTATCTAATCTTTATTCAAGTGAGAAACTGGAGAAGAGACTTGGCTGCCTAAAAGTAGATATCTGAGACATTTTAGATGCCTCCTCTTCTATTCCAGAAGAGCACTGATTTCCCATGTTCCCATGACACAGCTACCAGACTCACGCTGCTTTCTCAAACGAGCAAGAGCAGCACAGTCTGAGTTTGAAATTGGCCTCATTCTGAACGGGCTTAGACTAGATGATTTCCAGAGGTCACTTCCACCCTATGACAACACAGTGTGTGTTATCTGAAATTGTATTTCACATTTATTTTTCACATTTGTGAGAAGTGAGAGATTAACTATAAAGGGAACTCTAATGACTTAAATTTGGCACAGAGCTAACTTAGATGGCAAATTTAGGAGAGGAGAGTCCCACCTCTCATGTCAACACTGAAAAACATAAAACATGATAGTAATTGCATACGTGATTAAGGGATGGTTAATAGAATCACTAAGAGGAGTTTCTACTAACCATTTTGAAACAAGATCAGATCTTACAATGTTTAATGAAAATGATGATAAAACATAATTTCATTGTAAGAAACAACGGACGAGTGATGCATTGGAACAGCAAATGTACTCCTCCAAAAGATAACACTTTAAAGATACTCTCCACAGATCCCATTCAGCATCAGATACTTTGTTTACTTTCCATTATTATAATCRTTTGTGGTTTGGGCACTTTCCCTGGATTTCCTTTCATTTCTAATGCAAAGGAGAAGGGCTGGGGGAGAAGAAAATACCAAAAAACATTCCAGAGCAGGGAGAATAGTTCTAAAACTTTAGATTTGCATTGTGTGTCCTTTTGGCTCCCGAGAGCAGACAACAAGGGAGCTTTCTGCCTGTGTGCCTCGGAAACCCGTTGTTCCCAGGCTGTGTTCAGCAGCAGGGCCGCATAGTCCGTATTTGTTAAACCGTGCTGTAGCGTAGGTACAATTTATACCACGGGCGACTTCTGTAATCACTGTGCTTTAAAATGGATTATTTCATTTTCACTTGAAACTGACCTGTGTATTAACGTATTACAATAATTACATGATTTGTGGTAAAGGAAATGGGTTTTGGCTCTTAGCAGAGACTACTGGGAGCAAGCTGTACTCTTTCAAGTGCATCCATTGGCTTTAGTTTGTATAGGATGGGATGAGGTTTTGGCTTTTAGGAAACTGTGTTCCATTAAGCAGGTATCTAGCTTTAACCCAGGTGTTTTTTCCCCTCTATTGGTGAAAGCAAACCCACCTGTGGAGTTGAGAGCATATCCAAGCTCCAGGAGCACATTTTGCCATCCGTAGAGACCGTGATGAGGTTGTGCGCGTTCTGTGTTCCAACGACGTTGACACAATACACAGGATGCTGGAAACACATTAGCACTCGAAATAAGGGACCCGTTCTCACATCTTCAAAAACAAATTTCTGATGTCTCATACAGTATCTTAAGTGATGATTAAATAGACACATAATAGCAGGAAAATTCAGGACTCAGCTTTTGCCAGACAGGAATTATATTTGCCTTTTTTATTTAAAATTTTAAAAGCATATTTTAGAGGTCATAATGTTTTCAGAGCTTCATTTTCCTCATCTTAAAACAACTCAGCTGAGTAATGCTGTGAAAACACTGAAATAATGTGGATGAGATTTTATCCACAGGGACATGTATCCTTCTCCTGATGGATTTTGACATGGAAAATAATTGGCAGAAAGAAGCAAATTGTCCAAATGGAATCAAAATGATAACTTTATTCAACAAAACAGCTGCGTAAAACCTGAACTTTGCCAGAATCTGGCTTTCATGCGAAATACTTGCAAATGTATTCTGATAGAAAAACGCAAACAAATCCCTCGACCTTCTCCATCACTGACCCATATACTTTTTTAGATCTGTTGGTAAAAATGTGGAGTGACTAATTTGCTTATAGTGGTACACCAGGTTCACAATAGTAGGTGGCGTTGGTTCACGGAGGCTGATTTCCTTTTAGCATACAATACCATAACTTGCTGTCTTCATTTTTCAAGGACCTGGTGATATTTTGAGTCTAACGTGTCAACTGACATCTGGTGGTGACTGGGGATTAGGGAGGATTAGGTGCTGCTTCAAGATCAGCAGTCTCCTGGGAGGAAAATCATTCCCATTGAGCATTGAGGTTTAACACCCTCTGACCATTAGAAGTGATCCTTCTGAACGAAGGGTAAGATGCCTAGACAGCAGCCCAAGCAAATCTGCCATYCTCTGCCTCTCCTGCAAATAAACAGATGTGTGTCTCCAGGAAGACAAAATACYTAACAGCAATACTTTAAAAAAGAATCAGGACCAATTTCACAAGAGATTCCTATACAGCTTCTACACTAGCTGCATTTAGGTTTAGAAACGTAACATTTGATCCTACCAAAAGAAATGGCAGAGCTACCACATGTTTTAGACTGCCTGTCTAGTCAGCTACTGAGYCAATAGTGAACAGCAGATCTTCAGAGGCAGATTAGTTTCCTTGGTAGATGCCCCAGTGGGCTTGGTAAACACCTCCACCTCCAAGCACGAAGCCTGAAGCACCCGAGCACTGGGGGAGCACGCACTGAAGGAGGACTCAGTAGCAGTTGCTGCTGAGAAGGTATCTGGTGCTAGGAGGCCACCTGCACATACCAAGTAACGCACAAAGTCTGTTCTGATCCAGATTTCTCTCTCTCAGGATTGGCACTTGATGTTCCCCTGGTTCATCAAATGGATATTAGACCATACACTGGATGTAAATCTGTGCCTCTGATGTGGCTCATGGTGTTAGCACCAAGAAGGACCTTTACATGTTCCATTATGGTGGGCTAATTACCACAGTGCTAAAAAGGGTTAACTCCAAGTGATGGCCAAAACAAACACAGTCCTCCTTTTTAATGGGTGTTAGTCCTCCAAGAGACCAAAGCGACTGGCATACGGAGAATGGGAGGAAGCTAAAATAAGCCGTGGAGCAGCTGGGATATTTAGGAGGATGGGAGGAGAGACCCATGTCGCTCTCTGTGCCAGGTCTGRCTTTAATTGGCATTGCCAGCCATCAATTTCACGCACAATAAAACTCACGGCAGAAATGAAAAGACATAAGGCAAATGGATGAAAAAGACGACCAACCGTATGTAACTGAAAGCCTAAACAGGCGCCTTCCTTTCAAAGGCTTGCTGCCAGCTTGCTTTTATTTGTTTTGGAAATGAAATCATCATGCAAAAGGGTTTTGTCTTAATTAAAATTTCCTGTTGTCCCAAGTGCAGATGTGTGGTGGGTGTGAAAGGAAATTAGTGAGTAAGCTGTGGGTAGAATTCTCTTTCCTGGTGAATCCAAGCGGCAATCAGCAAGACTAAATTTAAGGAAGGAAGGTTTATATCAGCGATAACAACACACTCTATGTGTTCCAGATAACTGAGCGAATAAAAAGAGAAAAAAWCTTTTTTTTTTTCCAAATATGGCCTAGGTTCAGATTTTTAAAAATCTCTATTCAAACCATTTATCTATCAGTACACAAAGTAAAAACTGTATCACTCATCCCAATTTAATCATCCTAATTAAATACTTTTTTTTCTTGGCAGCTAGGGTTCAAGTCAGCTTTTTGCAACCAACGCGTCATTTAATGTTAATGCAATTCCTATATGTGAACAGAAAGCAAACAGTGTTTCATTGCAAAAAGTGATCAGTCCTTAAAAACATCATGCTTCTTCATGTTGGGGTTTGTAAACACTTAAACCAGCTCGTGACAGTACGTGAAGTCCACATCCACAAATAACTGAAAATCATTTATTTATATTTTTTCAAAAGCAAAGCATCACATATTTTTCTACTCTAAAAAAAATTAGTTTAATGTATAATTCCAGGAGGTCCAGATTTGTTTTATACATTTTTTTTGAATCTAAACAAACTATCTTTGCATTAATTTCTTCTTTTCTGCTAGATTTTTGGATCCCAGTTGTTCAATTTTCAGTGACAGTGAGTTTCTTGCCACTAGTTTTCTGGTCTACTACATCTCTAAATTGCACTTCCAGGAAAGACTGTTTCCTTTCATGCAGGTCGAACAACATTAGCTCAGATACTGGCAACAAAATGAGCAAAAACATTAGGGAAATGAAAAGTAATGTTGAAGTTGCAACCCCTGGCACAGATCATTAGATTATTGCACCAACATTCATGAGAGTGGAAATTTAGGGAACAATATTTGTACTGCCTGGCCCACTAAGAGTGTCTGTGTACACCTGTCATTTTTCAATATAAGAGGCAATCCATCGTAATGCTGGCCCCAGACTGAATCTTTTGCATTAATTCACGTGACTTGGCTTTTAGAYGTTGTCTCTTCACTGTGGGGATTATGCTGTCACAGTAAACTAAAAGCTGAACCTTGATCTGCAAATTGCAAAGATAAGAATCACAGAACTGTAAAAGCTGGAGATGCAAAAGATCTACCACTTTGTCTAATCCTTCTCTCGGCTAGAACAAGATTATTTTCTTATCTCTCTAAGAAGTGCTTTGTGTAGCTCAGTTTCTTATGTTTCAGGAAATATTCTACAAATTTCCATATTCTTATATCACATCASTACATTTTCCTCCTCCTTCCAGCCTATATTTTCTATTCCACTGCCTACTCCAAGTATTCCAAGTGGGATTTCTGGCTACAACTCCAAGAACAAGTCTGGTTGTTCCCAAGCCCAATGCCAAGATCGGGTATGTTCACCACGCACAGAATTAACCTGCCTGCTCACAKGAAGAGGGTGCCTGAGCCCAAACACAGTGCCACTGAGGTGGCACAAAGGTGCAAAACCTCATTCAGGTTTTGCACCGCTTCTGTCCTCTTCAAAAGGATGCTTTCCTCATGACCTGAGGTACCATACAAAGAGTGCTGGTTAAACACTTCAAATAGCTGGTTCTTTTTCTTTCTCCACAGGGACCACACTTAACATTTGCATGAATGTGACATCCCACATCACAGGCACATCCAGGGAGCTCTACTTCCCTGCTGACCGTTTCATCTCAAGAAAGGATGAGGTGACTTTTAACCTTACCGTGTGAGCAGCTGCAGATAAGGGAGTTCGCTGAACCGGAGTCCGCCTGTGGCTGCGATTATCCCACAGGACAATTTGGCCGGAGTACGTGCCCCCAACAACCAGGTTTGGGTGAAAGCGGGCAAAGCAGACAGACATCACAGAGGACTAGAGGGTAGAGAAGAAGAGAGGCATTACATGGTCAGTCACCTTCAATTCTCCTGCTTAAGGAAATGTAGTAGTTTAGAAATSAGTGCATGACCCCAGTTCACATTCCTTGTGCAACAGGTAACTTCTACAAAAGCCAACAGAACATATGCAAAGAGCCACTTGCAGACTAAAATATTCAGTTTCATTCATGTAGGAGAATGTATGGGCTGAGTGTTAGCGTGATGCTAAAACCCCGAGACATTCTCTCCATGACTGCAGTGGGAAAGTGCTTCCTTTCCTTTCCAGAGAAAATTGAAGTAACTAGATGCCAACCCAACAGAGAGACTTCTGTCCCAGGGTTTTCTCACAGGGAGAACTCTTCCCCTATTGCTCCCTYTGGCTTTTAACTCTTAAACAGTGTGGGATGAGTTTGTGAGGGACCCTCTGAAGTGCACCTCAGAGTGGACTGCCTTGAGAGCACTGGCTCAAGAGCAGGATCTTGTTGCATCAATGACTGATTTCTCTGTTACAGATAGTCCTTGTCTAATAGCAGAGGCAATTACACATGTCTAAGTGTAAGCACTGTGTGAGCAGAAACGAGTTTCCCCATCTGAGTGAGTGACAGCAGGTTGCCTCTGTCCATTTTCTTTCACTGGGGATGCTGAGGAGCCAGATTAGTTTAACAGTTGCCCTGGCCATCTGATGAAGTGCCCCAYGAGCCTGCATGGTGGTGGATATCTATCTCAGCTACCTCCTTCTAGACTCTTTAAAATAACATACAGCCTCTGAAATCCTCAAGGGAATACTCCCCAGACTCTTCATGTGCCAAAAAGCTACAGCCAAGAGCAACAAGCTCTAACTCCCTCGAGTCCTCCRTTCACTTTTCAAGGAACTGTTTTCCATTTTTTATAATTGGTCCTGGATGTTTCACCTCTCGTGCATGCAAATTGGAAAGTAAAAGTTACAGCATTCGTATAATTTCCTGAGAATTCACATGCTAATACAGGCATACTTTGCAAACAAAAGCAAATGTCATTTTTCCATGGGCAGCTTTAGTAGTGCTTATGAGCCACAGAGCAAGGCTTTAATTGTTGTGTCAATTACATTCACAATATTGAATTCACAGTTAGTGGTCATATTCTTAAAATTTCATCTTCTGAMTCTTTCCAACAAGTCTGAGAATAAATTTTTGTTATAGTTTGTTATAGTTTAATGAGAGGATGCTTTGAAGTGGTGATATGAAATGATGATATCCTGAAATGAGAGCCCATTTTATTCAGTGACAAAAGGGTAGCTGAATTATCACATTTCAGTTTCAAAAATGGCATTGCAGGTACGTAAGTAACCTTTCTTGAACTGGAAATAGAGGAGCTGCCAAACTGAGCTAGAACCCAATGTCTGGCTCTGGAAGGGGTGGAAGGAGTTGTAGGAACTTCAAAGTGGACAATGCGTAGTCTTGTCATCATCTCATCAGTATACACCATACTGATGTGACAAGAAACAGGTTTGAACCCTTAAACCAGATACTTAATGGCTTCTTAAACAGATGTAGAACTAATTGTGCTAACTCCTAATCCCTCTTATTGGCATTAAAAACAATGAATCAAAATGGTCATCTACTGAATTCATGTGGTTGTCACGTGTTGTGGGATATTTATTGTTTAAAGACAGATAATATTCAAAAACAAGCTAGTAGAAGTACTTCTAGCATTCAGAAATATATTCAATCATGCATTTTTTACCTAATCAGATCACCCAATGAAATAATTTGTGACTTCCTTTTTCTTCACCATTCTGTCTGAGTTCTCATGGGTGTTACTTAACATGTTTGATCCCTTCTCTACTAAAGCTTTCTATGTTTCTCTGATGTTACACAGTCTCTGCTATCTAGTGTCTAGACCATTAGAATATATAAATGCCAACTTTAATCTGTATTGGTCTTTGCATTTGAGCATAATAATAATAGCACTATAGTCAGCTTGGGCAACCAAATGTAGGTTCCAAGCATCATTTCCAAAGGACTTATTAACATTATATATATGAAAAAATCACCTCGATGTTACAGTGCCTCCGTACTACTAAAAAACATTTAAAATTCAGCTACATTTCATCTGCCATACGGTTTCCAGAGATTCCCCCATACATTATAATTAAAATGACCCTGCAGCACATGTTCTACATTTTATCTCTTTGTTTAATGGCTTCATGAGTTGTTTTAATCAACCCCTCTCATTCCTTATAGCTAAGATGACAGATATTCTTACATGAAGTGAAATAGCCAGATGATTTTAAAATAGTACAGCTACACCACTGTGTACACCCCACGGCAGCTACAAGGCTCCACATATATTTTAAGAAACCCAAATTCAAACACTCATTCCACAACAAAGTTCTCAGTTTTTCTGAAACAAACTTGGGAGACTCTAAAGCAGGGCAAAAACCAACTGGACAGTGTATTTTTACATGCTGTGTTTTCATGGTTAGAATGTTTTTGAATTCAGAATCCCAGAATACAGTTGAATGGTTAAGATATAAACTGCTAAAGTGTATTTTTCACGAAGTTTAAAAATAACCTACAGTCATGACACATGGACTGCCCCCTGCACTACTTCTAGTTTTACACAGTGCTCCAAAGTAACTCATATTCTTCAACTGATGAAATGTTCACATCCTTTTAATTATGTCAATATTATTTTTCTACTGAAGGGAAACTTCTTTCCAATATTAGGATTTAACAATTTAAGGACTCCACTCCATAGCACTTAATAAAGTGATTATTTTCTTAGAGTTAATGGTAGTGCTCAGATGAGTAAGGGCTGTAAGATCCAGCTCATTCATTTAACAACTTTAAAAGCACTCATTTCTTAGCCTTAATAGAAGAGAGCAGCAGACAGGTCTCCAGTCTGTCTGAACAGCTCTGTGCTGAAGGAGAGCAACAGAAGCCATTCCCGGGACCGTGAGCCTCTTTTGCCTCCAGGCTGCATCTTGTTTGCAGATTCAAGCAATCTATCTCTCCTAAAACTGAGTTTTGACACTGACTTCAAAGAGGGAAGAACCAGCATACTGTGAGGTTTTAAAATAAGAGTGTATCCTCCTTTGCACCTCAACCACACCTTTCTGGGGCAATCCCACAGAACTTTCTAATACTGGAACAGTAAAGCTTCCCAGCTTTTCAATTAGGTAAATTTTACCTGCTGTAGCTGCTTAGTTGCTTCATGCAAGCCAAGGAAAGAAGCTGCTGCTTTACTAGCATATGGAAACGCTGCACAAACAGTTTCAGAAGGATAATGTCAAAAGCAGTTTGCCTAAGGAGTTTTGAGTGCCCACAGTACAATAACAGCATTTAGTATATTGGGTTAATGAATTTATCTTTTCATGGGTACAGCAGAACATCTCTGTCTACAAGTTGTCCGGACCCTCAACAGCTGAGGGATCTCCAGTATTTGGTCACTTTAATTCTTCTGAATTGTTTAAGACGGTGGATAACTTAACTGCTCGCCTTAATGTTTTCCCTCTACAAATACACAGTCAATAGATTTAGCTTTCTCTGATTCCTTAGCTTTCTCAGTGGCCCATCAAAATACTTCTGGCCTTTGCGATCTTCCACATAGATTTTCTGTTCTTTTTTCTTTATGACTGCTTCCTGGAGGGCCTTGCCATTCTGACACTGCTGCCACAGCTCTTGGGCAGGTCCCTTCATTCTGGAGATGAGCAGCTCCAGTGACCACATGAGCAAATCCGAATTAGCTCCAGGTCAGAGTATGCCCCGGGTGAGTGGCAGAGTCAGTCYGCACTCATAAACCTGAGATTTTTGTCTGGCAAACAGGTGCTCATGCTCCCCAGGTGCTAGAACTTCTAGCTATAACATCAAGAACACCTTTGAACACATAACTTAAGAAGCCAAACAAAATGGCTGTGCTCTTGTCATAGCAAAGAGAGGGCTGGTCTCAGAGAAATAGATATTGCCCTCCCCTACAGAGGCCTGCAAGCCAAGAGGACAAGACATCCCACCCCAGTGACCCATTTTGACAGTTGTTAGCTTGTTTCATCCTGTATGTAGAGAACTGCTACAGAGATAACAGTGGTGAGGACTCTGTTCCACAGCCTTCGCCTCCTCCTTCGTTCTCGATTCAAACAGGCCCCAAACTCTCTTCAAGTGGCTGGCAGAGCTGTTTTTTATTTTAGAAACTTAATCCGGCCCAGATTTGGATTAATGATGGCATATCCCTTTAACCACAGATGCACATGCTCAGGACAGGCAGCCATTTAGATTCTCCTATTGGCAAAGCCTGACCTCAGTCCCCACATCTGGTGCGCGCAAGGCCCCAGAGATTCGCCTGCCTGTGCTCGTGTCCGAGGCTCCGGATGACACTCTGCCCAGCCACGGGTAGAACAAGTCCACAAAGACCTGGGTGCTGAGCAATAATGACTTCAAGTAGGCAACAACTACTGCACTCAGTGAGATCCCTCGTGCAGGAAGCCACCCCCACAGGCASTGTTGCCATACTGGTGCCATATGCCTACACTTGACACCAGATGGATCTCCAAACCATACTTCAGCAGTGGGAAGAAGAGATCTGAAGAGTTCACAGGCATTTTGAGACTCCAGGATACCAGGTTATACTGCAGCAGGCAATGCTCAGGAAACTCCGGGCTAGATTTTCTAGCTGAGCAAACACATGTGAAAAAGTCCTGTACTCTCTGCTATGCTACGATAGGTCACTCTTTCACAGACAGAAATATAGTTTACTGCAGCCTAGAGGTCCTAAGTCTAAGTGAGATGAAGTAGATACTGTTCCTTGGTAGGGGAATTGACTTAAGAGAGACTGAGTGCACAGGGGAAAAGCCGTGGTACCGTCACTTAACTAGAAGTCAAATCTATAGGCATTGATCCATAGGAACATTAGAATTTGGACTGAATGTTTGAGCTTATGCTTGTCCTCCTGAGGAACAAATACTTGAAGACAAAACCCCCAAAATACAAGTATATTTTGCTCCTAATCTTATGCTCTCAGTAC